TAGAGGTCTTTTACAACCTTAATGATTCTGTAACAATTCTGTAGTAAATTAGGGCAGAACATGAATTCCAGGCTATTGTCTGTTAAATTGCATTGCTACCTGTCTACTTTAACACTTGCATTTTTATAGGCTACTTTGTTGTCTTGCACCTTGGTGAAGTTGTCTTGTGACTTACTCAGCGTTATCTTGGTTGCTTCTATTAAGCATCTGTTTAGTTGCCACTGGTATTCTGAAAAACTTAACTGGTTTGATTTTTATTGTGCTGTATTAAGAAAAAAACCCCCAAAACCTAATCTACCCTCTTTATACAGTGTTTCAGAAATACAGCAAATAGTGTGTACTCTGGCTGAAGAGCAGTGTTGTCTTAGTTAAGTATCTACTTTGTCAGGGGGGTATATTGACTTCTCTAAGAAAAGGGTGATTTGTCTCTGCAGCATTTCTGAATTAAAAGGTGTTTCTTTGTCTGTAAGTCTCTTTGAAATTGAGTTTCTCTCTGGCCACTTGTAACATTCTTTGAGCTCTTCCCCTCTTTGCCTAAGTTCATGCAAATGGGACTGGCATCCAACTGAATCTTAGTTTTGAAAAGTCAACTTCTTGGATGTTTTTCAAGTGAAACTGACAGTTTGAAGGTAGACTTTTTTCATGGGCCTGTTTTTCTAGTCTGGGATGATTTGGTAACTGTAGATGAGCCCCTTTCATCTGCAACCTCAAGTCCTTTCTGGTACAGGTGACTTTGCCCAGGATTTCAAACTTAAGTGTGTAGGAACTAACTCAGAAAATTACTTTTTTTTCACATGTAAGGGGTGCTGTTGACTTGTGTATTCTCTTATGTGGCTGAGCTGTGGAACTCACTGTTTGTAGGCTGTCCTACTTTGATTTCTCAGGGGGATGCAGTGCGGCCTTTGCAGAGTATTGAACACTCAGATTTCAGTGGAGCAGACTAGAGGCTTTGTGATAGCTCTATTCCTCTTGCTGAATATTACCATTCCAGCTTGCTGAGCTGCAGGTCCATCCATATGGTGAAGAGGCAGTGTGCCCTGGAGGAAAGGCAAGCTGTGGTGTCTCCAATTTGTTGAATGCATGTCATTTTCAAGCAGCAAAGTGGCTCTGACTGTAGACCGTGGGTCTCAGACTGACAGATAATTTTAGAACTCCTCTTTAGAAAATGCTTAAGTAGGCAAAAGATACTGCTCTGCCTGTTTCTACAGATGAATTTTGCCATTATTAGTTTTTTTATCTGCAGCTGGTGTCTGCCACAAGAGGCTGTCAGAGGATATTTTCAGTAAGCATAGTGTTTTTATTCATTGCCATTTATCATACTAAAAGCAAAAGTGTATATACAGCGAGCACTATTAAATGAGTGCATGATGACTATTTAAAGTACCACTGTGTTTTCTTCCACTCTGTCATGGGCAGGCCTGGTTTTTCTCTTAACTGGAGAAACTTGATGTGCAAGGAAGGTGCCTTTCTAGGGTACATAATTGTTAAAATGTTTGATAAGACTTGACTGAGAGAATATAAGTAATGAGCCTTGGATAACAAGGCTGTTTGTGTATCTGCTTTTGTGGCTTTAAGATGGCTCTATTACCTACTTAAAAAGTGGTGTTAGGGTTTTGGTTTAGGTGGAAAGACCATCTCACATACAAAGGTTTTGCTGCTAGATGCAAAACCTTCCTTCTCATGAGAATAGGCAGAGCACATAGAAATAAAATAGAAATGCAGTCAAATCCTATGATAAAGCATGTCAGAGGGCTGAAGTCAGAAAAATGAATTAATGTTTCTTGTGGATAATTAGGTGGCAGTCAACATTGATTACACTGTGAAATAGTAAACTAGACCTGGCTGAACTTGTGAAGCTGTTGTTTGTTTCTGTCATATCCTGTATTTCTGTAGCCATAGCATTTTGGGCAGAGACTTTAAACTGAACAGATTGGAAAACAATTACTAATCCAGAAACAAAAAGACTAGAAGTATCACAGCACACGATGTATTAGCTCTGTGGAAGTTCTTTAAAGGTCTTGTGTTGGCAGAGACCAACTGGTCTCTGAGAAGTGTTTAAAGTTGGGTGGGTAAATGGAGTGCAACTCTGATGAAAAGACTGCATGTGTTTGTACAGCCATTGGGTGACCTGTTGTAGTTCAGACAGGAATCCTACCAGTGGTTTAAGTCTAGTTCAGGTAATGACTGCTGAGAAAACCTGTAGCCTCAGGAACACTATGCGTGTCCCAAAGCAGCTGGCCTGTGTTGTTGGTGCCTCTTCCTCTGCCATGCTGTTGGATTATTGTCATACTGTGTAGACTCACTTTAAGATGGAGAGACTCCATCAGCACAGGGCAGAGGAACTCTTGGCCAAAATGCTCAGTGTTTTCTGGAAGTCCAGTGACATTTCAGTCTCTGTTTCCTTGCCTATCTCTTCTGTTTTTCATAAAGAAGTGATGAAAAAGATGAGGCCCTTTCTCTGTCATAGATTCGTGTTTACTCGCTGATCTCTGGTTAAACCATGTTCTCTGCTTGCTGCTTGGTATCAAGGCTCAGTAAACATCACTGCCTCAAGGAGAGAATTTTTTATGGAGCAGTGACATGTGCTCATCATGCCAGAAGATTTTCTGAGCAGTACTTCGGTATCTGCGTAGCAAAATAGTCACTCTTCTGCTACAACCTTCTGGCTTTCTGTTACAGATCTGAATTAATCCAGATGACCGAATAGCAACATTTTCAGGTCTGTATAAATGCTTGCAAAACAAGGGTCTCATGCCTATTGAGGCAGAATTTCTATAAAAATATTTTGGGGTTGTCTGAATGCAAGTTTTCATTAACAAATTCACTGAAAGCTGCATTTTGAATATGTGATTGTTCCATCAAGAAAAATTATGTTGACTGAATAGTTGCTGAAAAGTTCAGGGATCTCATTGTGTCAAGGATGGCAAACTAGGAAAAACCTTGCTGTTGAAATGACAAAAAAAAATTTCCCAATGCCTATGGGTGATAGGAAACCAGGTTTTTGTTCTTTCCTTCAATTGTCTGAAAGACTAGGCTTAATCTTTCAGAAAATGGAGATGAACTAGAGGAGCAATTCCTGTATCTTTTTTTCTCTTGATAAACTACTTCTAGTCCTAGTGGTCCTGCATATTGAAATTGTCTTAATTGTGTCTTGAGTAGTGTAATTATCTTTGTAGTAATAACAGCCTTACTAGTCTAACTTCTTCACAATTTCAGACTTTTGTTTTTAACCAGGATATGTTATTGATTCTTCCAGCCTGTATATCACAACTGAACTTCAGCCAGTTGTCTTTAAAGAGCAGTAACTTGATGTGAATGTATGCCAGGAAATCTGTGTATATACCAGGGTATAAGGAATTTACTAATGATTTTGTAAACCTGTACAAAAGTTAAAGCCATATTTTGTACATGAATTTTATTTTCCATTTCACTATGCTTGACTACTACTGGTTGTAGTATTTCCTTTGCTAAATTTGGGAGTTCATAAATATCTCCAGGAGAAAGATCAACTGTGAGTTTTCATTAAGTAACTATGCTCAGGTCTGAGTCACTTCTTGTAAATGCATGTTTCTTGCCATTGGGCTATTTTGGTAGATCTTCAATACTTACGTAAGATTTTCCTTGAATTTGTGACTACCAAAAATGTATGCTTAGTCTTATCATAGCTGTTTAGACGTAAAATGACCTCATCTATTTGTGTATCATATTTTATGAACATTAACATTTTGACATTAACATTTAACATTTTATTAACATTAACACTCTTCACAGCATTACATGGGTAGATGGGCTATTTGATATCTGTCCATTTGACTTCTGAATTCTTCTCAGAATTGCTGCTTTTCTGGATAGTGTTCTACTGTTCAGTTTCCACTCCATTGAGATTATTTAATGTCAATGAACTGGTAATGAAGAAATCTAGATACTTTGTTTGAGTGAAATACAAGTAACTTAACTGCTATGTTGATGTTAATTGTGTGTAAATTAGATTGTTTGGAAGGTACTGAGTTCCCTTAAATGTAGCACAGATGACTGTTAAATCCCAGTGGAAACTCCTATGTCAAACAAGTGATGTCTTCACTAAAGTAAACCTTTCGTCTCTTCTGCATGGTGTACTTCCTCATGTGTGTATTTAATTTTTAATATATCAGTTCTCTTGATAATTCTAAATAGTACCATAGCGTATGTTAATGCATCTTCCTTTTGGTAATTCAACATGATGGTGGAAGATTTAGGACTGCTTTTGTTGGGTTTGTTTAGTTTTTAACTCCATGACTTAGCTGCAGATCTATGCCTATTGAAGTCCAAGTTGTCTGATTAAAATGTTCAATTTCAATAATTCAGTTGTTTTTTCTTTCTCCTTCCCCACCCCCCCAGCACCAATTTTGTTGGCCTTGGTAGCAGGAGAAGCAGCAGGGATCATGGAAAATATCAGTGATGATGTCATTGTTGGACGGTGCCTTGCCATCCTCAAAGGCATATTTGGTAGTAGCGCTGTGCCACAGGTTAGTACAGACATAATCTTTGAGTAGCTTCTCTGTATTTCAGAATGTGCTACAGTTCTCAGTAGGTTGGCTGTATTGAGCAATATTGAGCTGTTTGGTATATGTACCACCTTTTTGTTGTTCAGGGTTTTTTGGGAGGAGGGATGGTTTGTGGGGTTGGGTATTTTTGCAGGGGTTGGGGTTTTTTTTGCTTGGGGTTTTTTGTGTTTGGTGGTGGTTTGTTGTTTTCTTTAGTTTGTTGTTTGGTTTGTTTTTTTGGACTGTGTGTTTGGGGTTTTTTTGAGAGGATTGTTTTAGAGTGAGTAAGACACTAGCTTTTCCAGAATGTCAAATACTTCAGTTAATTTTCTACCTCTTTGTTTCTGGGGTTATAGCAGACCTGTCCATGGCTAGTGACAGCACTGCTTCGGTGCTCCTTGCCATATTCTGCACCTTCCCTAAAGGTGTACCTTTTCTTTTCCCTCCTGCTGTTCTTCAACACACGGAGACTTTTTCAACCTTGCTGTGCAGCTAACCTCTGCAAGCTTCATGCTCTCTGTAGAGTAGGATTCTGGTTTTGTACCACTTCCATCGTAGTACGTGTTTTATCCTCTAATCGTCCTTCTCCCTGTTCACAGGGAATCCTAATTTACAGCATTTGCTTGTCAGGATGAAAATAGAAGTTGACTCATACCTGTACATGGGTATGTTGCCACATGAACACTGTAGTTGCTGTTTTGACTGGTGTAGTCTCAGTACTGGGGAACCGGTACTTCCATATTCTGCTCTACAATTGTGTCTGCGTTAGCCATACCTTCAAAACTACCTCAATGAAATAAAATTTCTATCTGGCTTTATTCTGTGTTAGACTGCAATGCTTCATGTGATTACTAAAGAGAATTAAGAAATTTATGAAATGCCTCGAAGTTTTCTTTGTCAGACATACATGTGATAATGTACAGTGCTGTCAGAGTGGTCTTCATCCAACAAGGAGGGAAATGTGAGGTTACTTTTTTCTCAAGAAGCAGTCAATATGAGGGCTGGCTCATCACTCAGTTTCTTACCTTTTGGATAAAAAAAGTGCTGAAAGTTGTGGTGAGGAATTTTCTTAAATCTTCAGACCATATTGGAAATTGTGGTCTCCAGCCCCCAGTGGCGTCTTACACCTTGCAACATGGCCCCAGTCCTCTGTGGTCTTTCCACAAACTCAGCAGAAGGCTGAGTCCAGCTGTGGCCAGCCTCAGAGATACCATCTCAGATCTGTTGGTTTTGGGGTCCAGGAGACTTCCCTTGCCATGATGTGGTATGGTGTCTGCTGGACTGGTTGCTGGATAATGCCCTTGCCTCTTTCTCTTCTTTTGTGGGAAGGTCTGTTGAAGTAGAAACAATTCCATGAAATCTCTTCATGCCCAAGGTGAAGAGATAAGGTTCCTGTCTTGATGTTTATGTCAAGTTAAAACTCAGTTACACATTTGGACAGAGTCTGGGCTGTTCTAAGATTCACAAGCATCACTTTTCAATGTTATGTCTGCAGGGTTATGAAGATGTCCCATTTTCTTTTGACTGCTGTTATGCCTTAGATAGTGGCCTGAGTCCTGGTGATGCTCTCACTGTTCCATCTTTCAATGGAATATCTTTCATCATGACCCTTACCTTGGCAAACCAGATGCATTGGAGAAATACAGGTGTTTGTGCAGGTGCCCTCCATGCAGTTGTTTTTCCAGATGAGTTACAGACCTTATATAGGCCTATATCATAGCCAAATTAGAAGAAGTATTCAGATGAGCTGTGACTGAAAGTAAAGGAATAGGAAGTGTGCATTGTCATTATGTTGATAATATGAGAAGAAAACAGAGCAAACAGTACACAGTGTGCATGTACAGCTGACTACAAAGTCTTGAGTTCCAGTGCAGAAGCTGTGTGCGGTAGGTTCTGGTAGTATATTGGAAGGAATTAAGGTATTGCAAGAAAGACAGCTTGTTTACCTTGGTATGTGTTATCATGGACTATAAACTTGGCGTTCCACCATTAATGTTAGCCTAAGGACTTTGTGTCTTTTATTCTTGCAATTTGCATCTTTTGTGTTTTGCACTAGCTGTAGAACTTGCACTGTGTCAACAACTGAAGTTTCTGTTTTGTCTCAGCCTAAAGAGACTGTGGTGTCCCGCTGGCGTGCTGACCCGTGGGCCCGGGGATCGTACTCCTATGTAGCAGCTGGATCTTCTGGAAATGACTATGATTTGATGGCTCAGCCAATTACTCCAGGACCAGCCATTCCAGGTGCTCCTCAGGTGAGAGATGTCTCAATTTTTTTTAGAAAAACCTCAAAACAGGATGATTTTTGGAAGTAATTTGCATACATATCTAAACACAAGTTTAGATAACTTGCATCTTCTGATGAATAATTAGAACCTGTAAAATAATTCAGTCTTCCATCCATGGATTCTGCCTTCCTACGTTTGGTGTAATTTGTTTACTAGAAAAAGTATTTTATTCAGAAAGTCAATTTGGTAATGTCTGAACAGAGTGTTATAATGTTATACGTTTATTGTGTTTCATACTCCATGTTTATGTTGTTTACCATCCATTAAATGAATTGTAGTGATTTGAAAGAGGGTAAAGGCCAGAACATGAGTCAAAAGGTCTTTCCCACATTGGGAGCAAACACAATGAAGGCCTTAAGTCGTCTTCAGTTCACCTTGAGAGGACGAAGTTTTGAATGCAATAGCCATTCTGAAAGCACTAGCAGAGAAGGATGTATAGCTTCGGCTTTGTTTAGGTTCTTTTTCTAGTGATACAAGTCATTAATAAACATAGATATGCATAAAATGATTCTCTGCAGAGTATAACATATGAAAGTGTTTTTCTCCTACTTTTTATGACACTGTCAGTAGTTGGTTTAGGTCTCAGTTCAAAGAGAAACTGCTGAATTGCTGAAGTTTTTGTTTGCTTACTCTGCTAGAGTTCGTGTTCCAAGATCAGAAATGGTCATTCTTTTTAAGCAGTTTGGCTGTAGAGTTGTGGATACAATGTTCAAATGCTTTTTGATATACAGCTGGGCAAATAATTGGAAAATATTTCCTCCTATTACAGTTGTTAGAAACCCGAAACCTTCATGTGAAATGAAAGGTGTATGTAAAGATTTTCTCGGTAATTTGTAGGATAGGTTGATGGAGACTCTGGTGTGATTAGAGGACTTTTAACATTCTTCTTAAAGTATCTGTTTGCTGTAGAATTTGAAAGAATGTGAACAAGCTTTAACAGTGTTCTCTGTTCCCCCAGCCTATTCCTCGTCTTTTTTTTGCGGGAGAACATACAATTCGCAACTACCCTGCAACTGTTCATGGTGCTTTACTGAGTGGACTGAGAGAAGCTGGTCGCATTGCAGATCAGTTTCTTGGGGCCATGTATACTTTGCCTCGCCAGCCTACACCAGGGGTCCCCCAGCAACAAGCTACCAGCATGTAAAAAAAGTAGAAGGTATCAGAAGAGGAGTGACAAGACCACAGTGCTGCTGTTGTGGACTCTTTGGGATGAAGATATTCACATATCTGTAACAGTATCTGTTGAATGGACTCAGCCATGAGTTCCTGTGTGATATTTCTGTTAGAATGGCCTTACAAAACTTACCTAACCTTTGCCTTGGCATCCTTTTACAAAATCTCTTATAGCTATGTGAAGCACACAGAATCCTTTACTACCAAGCTGGACAGGGACTTTTTTGACTGCAGATACTTTTTGAAAGTCAAGCTTATAGCTGGAGGATTTTTAGGGTTTTTTCTACCTATATGTGTATTTACAAGTTGGTAATTGCACAAGGCCCTCTAGAAGCTGGTTGCTATGAACAGTAGCTTAGTGTAGAATTTATGTGAACAACTTTGTTGGGTTTTTTTATTGTTTTGTTTTGAAGAATAATATTTTTTGACCTATTTTGTTCTTATCTGGCATTTGAGAACTTGGTGCAACTGTTTCCCTACCAGTAACAACAAATCACACCCATCCAAAATAGTCCACTGGCTGCTACACCATATGCATCCTGTTTTAGAAAAAAAGCTGGTATTACTAAGAGTGTGCTAAGCATACTGTTTTATTAAATACTTTCAACAAAAGAAATAATTAGAATTGGGATATTTGTAAGTTAAAAACTAGAAAAAAAATCTTATTTGTTTATATAGAAAGAGTTGCCTAGACAGTAAGTAACCTGAAGGACCTAATCTCTTAACTTCTGCATGCTGCAGGTAGCACTCTGTGTACCTGTTGATCTCATTTCTGCTAGGTTAATGAGATGATGTTGCAACTGCTGTTGTTATGTTTCTGAAAATCACTTTGGTTTGACTGCTTTTCCAAATATTTTCCTTTTTATTACTTCAGTGCATAGAGCCTTCCTTTCATTGCACAGAGCAGTCTTATTTAGACATTGAGGTTCTTTCCCTCCTTTCCTTTCCCCATTTAGCATTACACTTTTCTTCTGATCCTCCTCTCTCTACAGTTTATTTCTATCTTACCTAACGCTGGCCTCTGTTCACACTGTTTTTTCTACTTTTCCGTTTTTCTGTTCTTACGTCATGTCTGTACATGTGCAGTCTGTCCCAGCTTCCTTCTGTCCTGCACCTTCTGTTCTACTAGAGGACTGGTACCTCCTCTTGTTCCATGCTTATGCCTCTACAACTACATTACCCACACTTCTTCCTGAAGAAAATACACACACAAACACGACTGCAGCCCTTCCTTGTTTATAGCTGTATTGTCTTTGGCCACAGACTCTCCATCTTCTGGTATCATTGCTTCTGTTTTCTTGTTTCTCCTTCTTAGTAGCTGGAGATCATTCTTCCTACTGACTATGTCTGTTATCGTCTGGTTGCTTTCTCATTAGATGTTGAAGTCTGTGAGGGGGTATCTCCATAGGCAGTCCTTCTGACAAGCTGTGAGAAAGGAGAGGACTCTGATGTGGCAGGGGTAGTAGTCTGTGAGAGGGCACAGACTTGAGGTGTCAAGGACTAAGGCCATTTGAAGTGGCTGGATTTGGTGCTGTGGGGGACCCTCTATCCTGAACTTCTCTTTAAATAGTTGCCACTTGAGCCCTAGGTATTGAATGGGGTATTCAGTAATAGTACTTATCCTTGCTTTCCCTTCCAGGGGACAAGACAGACTTTGTGATCATTGGTCAGTAAACTGCCACTGAACTGGGTCAGGAATTAGAAGTCCAGCAGGGCATGGAGGGGTGTCCAGGGCGTGACTGAGAGTAAATAGAGAGTAATTTGAGACTCAAGACTCCCTGTGGTATGTTCAGATAAAAGCCTATCAGCATCACTACCCCTGTTCCAGGATGAGAGGTGTGACAGGCCTTTAGAATCCACCAACAGCTGATCTAGTCTATTGGCTAGTCTGACTGAGGATAGGAAAAGGATCTGAGAATTGGGGTGGTGTGTTCTGTAACCAGGCTGCCAGCCTCTATGAGTCTCCATATTTGTGGGATAGTTTGCTGTTGAGATTAGTGATGGTGCTGTCTCTTGCCATGAGGACTGTCATCCCACTTGCTCTAGCCAAGTGTCAAAAACTCAGAAAAGCACTTCTGGTCCACTGGAAAATAAAATAGTCCTCAACTGAACATAGCCAAATGGTGTCTTTTCTATAAAACTATCAAGCCACTCCTGTATCAGCCTATTAATGTTATTGTCAGCTGCTTTGTTCTACTTTATGTTTGTTCTGACTGAGACTTAGCAGATTATTCAGCAGACTAATTCTGTCAAACAGCATGCAGTAATTTGTCGAAGACACTCAAATGTAAACAAAGTTCCTTAAAAAAAGCCACTCCTGTATCAGCCTATTAATGTTATTGTCAGCTGCTTTGTTCTACTTTATGTTTGTTCTGACTGAGACTTAGCAGATTATTCAGCAGACTAATTGTCAAACAGCATGCGGTAATTTGTCGAAGACACTCAAATGTAAACAAAGTTCCTTTTGCACATTGCCATGAGTTTGACCAAGTGGGGCTAATCTTTCACCTGACAATGACTGTCCTGTTTTCTCTTTTTGAAAAGACAACTGAAAACGATGATGACCATTGAAATAAGGTGGCGATGAAGCCCTGACAGTTCCCGCCCTTCTTGAAGGTGTGCAAGGGGTTGGTGGGTGTTAGCTCATAGTGGCGATGGGTATGAGCAAAGGAATGGGAATGCCAGGAGGGGGTGAGGAGGCCTGTTCATTGCTTTCGGAGTCTTCATTGTAAGATAAATACCATGATCTGTGGCCTGCTGCACCCTGCCCTCCCCATTATCTCTGAGGACTCTGCCCATTCCTCAGCTAGTCCCTGCTTATTAGCCCTAGTAGGTATTAAAGAGTGAACAGCTTGGAGTACTTTCAGCTCTTAGGGGTGTTTGAGGCTCAGAGAAGACACAGGTAAGGCTGTGCAGCTAGTTGCTGGGCACCTCAGAGCTGCTGTGCTGTAGCTCATGCCCTGCATGGCCCAGTTTCTCATGGTCAGTGGCATTGGTTGCACCCTAAGCAGAGGGGAGCAGTGGTTGGGTGAAGGTCAAAGACTGCTCCTTTTGTTCTCGTTGTATCCTGTGGATTTGCTGGGATGGAGCGGGGGGAACCTGGCACTATCACCCCAAGGCCAGCTGGAGCTTGCAGACCTGGAAAAGGTGGCCTGAGCACATAGTGGTGAGTCAGCTTAGTGTTGGGGCTCAGCTCTTCCAGGCCACATGATGAAACTTCCATTGTTTGACCGGGAGCAGGATGGTCTGACTCTTTGCAGCACTACCAGTGTGTGATAATCCTCAAGCAGGTACTCTCCCACAGTTAGCAGCTCTTACCCCACTGCTTCTGTCATCCCAGGAGTGCCTTCTGTTGTGCCTCAGAAGGTGGCTCCGAGTCCAGACTATCAATGTATGTGTTTAGGAGCATATTGCTCTCCGCTCCTTGTGCCAGGGTCTGTTAGATGGACCTTTAGTCTGACCCATAATGGCTGATCCTATTTATAAGTGCTGCCTGTGCAGTCTTCCTACTACTGTGACCTACTGAGGAGGAGATGACATTGTAACTAAATGGGTGACCGGGTCCTCTTCATCTGAGCATCGTTCCTCATGGTGTAGCCATTCTTCCCCTTGCTGCTGTTTGCTTGCCCTAACTTCCCTGTAATGATTGCCTGATTCAGCAGATCATGGATAACCTTTATGACAGAACCGAGGCTGCTGGGCACATCATAAAACCTTGTGATCAAATCTGGTTGCACCCTCTGTAGCATACCTTTACACCTATTCTGAGGGACTTGCCACTTCTCATGCTACTCCATGGGTGGGTGGATTGCATTTCTGACAATGAAACTGGTGCCCATTTTGGAAAGAAAAATGTTCTTCCCTAGTTGGACCTCCCTTTCTGTACTGAAGATGAAGGACCACAGTGATCTGCCATGGGGTTCTGAAATCCTGCGTGAATGCATGCATTCGCCAGTGAGATTGTGATTTTGGATGAGGTGAATCTACAGGAAGATTTGCATTTCTCAGTTTTCTAGGTGCCTGTGTTTTTATCGGGTGCTAGCATCTGCTTTGCAATAAACTACTGTTATCTCAGGGTCTTTGTATGGCATTGAGAATATTTGCTATGGTCTTGCCTGTAGCAGAAATCAGTTGCAAAGCAATTGCAAAATTGCTTTTTTAATTGCTTTTTTTTTATTGCTAAGATAACAAAAACAGGGTTCTCCCTGTTTTGTTATCTTAGTAATTGACTGGATCATAAATCTAGAGGAACAACTTCACTGGGATGCTTCAGTTTCTTTTTATTGTGAATCTTTTCATCTGACTAGGTCTCTTGCTATATTTCTAAAAAAGTTCAGCTAAAGGTATTATGGTCAACAAGGTGCTCAGAGTTCATCTTGTAAACCTTAAACCATGAAGTGGCTCCATAAAATGAATTTACTAAATTTATTTGTGTCCTTTAGATTCTTTTAAAAGATGGTGATAATTACATGAGTTACTTTTCCCAAAAATGTGTACCAAAAGAGAATTAGATGCCCTGGGCTGGTTTGTTTTCAAGTTTGCTGCTTTTACCAGTGATTTTTTGCAATTTCCAATGTATCTGATTTCTGAAGGTGCAATTTTTTGTTCATTTGGAAGGAATATTGAAACTTGCAGGAAATGTTTACACTGACATTCTTCCCCAAAGCACACAGTTATTACAGAACTATTGTCATGCTTCCAGGAGTTATGCTCTGGGTGTTACCAGCATCAGCTGGATAAATACCCAAAAACCCCACAAGAAGTCACCTTTAGGAGGTCAGTGGTGACTGAAAGCATTCCTTTAATTACCTGTGCATGTCATAGAATGTGTCTTATCCAAAGAATAAATTGTCTTTAAATTAGTTTTTTCCAGCTTTGCAGATTTGTCTGCTAAAAAGCTGTTACTTCTCTATATGTTGGCTTGTATTAGCAAAGCTCAGGGCTTGTGGAGTCTGTCCATTACTTCCAGGTGCTAATAGGCATCAAGTCAACGTGATGTTTAGAAAGTCCCTGGGAAACATCAATCACAGAGGCTGAGAAATGCAATAAAATATCCAATGCAAATAATCGTATCAGGAGT